TTTTGCTGGTCCGAATGTTCCGAGTAGTGGGGAAAGTATAACCTTCCGCATGCATGGTGAAGTGTAAGAATGAGTTGCCGGTGCTGTCCACACCCAATGATACCCCAGTTACCGTAGAAAGGCAGTTGTAGTGTCAGCTGAGGTCGTCTGGATGTCTGATCTCCTGTGTCATATATCAGTAGATACAAAATACCTTTCCGTCTGAAATATGTACGTAGAGGGACACAAATACATCTAGACGATGGGTATTTCAGAAATATTAAGTTTGATCTTAGGCAATCTCTGCGTGTAAAGTTGTGATGTTGTTGAACGAATGGGAGCCGTTTTCTGCAGTCTGGTTGAAAAACGTAATTAAATGGATGTAGAAGACGCCAAATCTAAACTGGTGCCACTTTTGGTACGCTCCGCACACTTAGCGCTTTTAGCCAACAGGCGGCGGCAAAACGTGGTACCAACCTGTATCATATCCGGTCATAGGTGCGCATGCGTAAAATCCTTATTACCGATGCCGAGTTACTTTTTTATCACACATTTTAATACCTTCTGAAATGTGAATGTACAAGAATTCCGATCGCGCCGTAAGGGGTCTTCCTCTGACTATTAAATAACGCAGATATGTAGAAGATTATTTTTATATTAGGCATGTCATCGTATCTCAATTGCGTAGATCGATGCTCATGATGTCAATCACTGGACTGTCTGGTCCAGACTCGATTATTTACAGACCGTCATCATATAGCTAAATATTGCTGAGTGCGGCGTTAAAAAACAAACAAAACAAACAAACACAGTGTTAACCATGTATTTGATATAGGCATCTAGAAGCGAACACATGGACATGAACGATAGTCTGACACGGTGACTTCGATTTACTGTAAACGTTCTTTAGCATAAATAGGTTATACCTAGACGACCAAGGTGCCTGGACATGGGTTACACACTACAACTGTCCGTGGTCACGTGGGCTCCATTCTGAGAAAGCCATGATATGCTGGACTTTCCCTGTGAAGAATGTGGTCAGTAGATATAGGGGTGTATTTTGCTGGTCCGAATGTTCCGAGTAGTGGGGAAAGTATAACCTTCCGCATGCATGGTAAAGTGTAAGAATGAGTTGCGGGTGCTGTCCACACCCAATGATACCCCAGTTACCGTAGAAAGGCAGTTGTAGTGTCAGCTGAGGTCGTCTGGATGTCTGATCTCCTGTGTCATATATCAGTAGATACAAAATACCTTTCGGTCTGAAGTATGTAAATAGCGGATACAAATACATCTAGACGATGGGTATTTCAGAAATATTAAGTTTGATCTTAGGCAATCTCTGCGTGTAAAGTTGTGATGTTGTTGAACGAATGGGAGCCGTTTGCTGCAGTCTGGTTGAAAAACGTAATTAAATGGAATTAGAAGACGCCAAATCTAAACTGGTGCCACTTTTGGTACGCTCCGCACACTCAGCGCTTTTAGCCAACAGGCGGCGACCAAAAAGTGGTACCAACCTGTATCATATCCGGTCATAGGTGCGCATGCGTAAAATCCTTATTACCGATGTCGAGTTACTTTTTTTATCGCACATTTTAATACCTTCTGAAATGTGAATGTGCATGCAAGAATTCCGATCGCGCCGGAAGGGGTCTACCTCTGACTATTAAATTACGCAGATATGTAGAATATTATTTTTTCTGTCCGAGGGCTTAAACGAGTGAGCGATATACACATGCACAAAGGAAAGTGGCATAACTCCGCAATGTTTAGCACTTGGTTATTCTAACTTGAATCTCTAGATGGAAATTTGCTACAATGTATTGTCGTATTGTTTTGTTCACGTAGAACAAAACTGTTTCAACACAAATTTCGGTATTGAAACCATGTACGTTTAGGTATCATCACAAAGTATAAAAAATATATTTCGTACTACATAAAGATTGAATGAATAGCGAAATAGTAAGTATTTAATAAAAACTCCCAAAGTTAAAGAACCCAAACATGTCCTCACGATCAGACGAAAAATATCATATATGGACACAATAGCAAAGTTAAAATCAGAAGTCAAACATTTAAACTTCAAATTACACAGGAGGAAGAAAGCAGAACAGTTCTTCATGTACGGTCACAAACAAACGTCACAAACTAACGTTTAAGACAAGGCCTAGTTCATTAGCCTGACTGCGTGACGTTCGGCATTAGGAGCTAAAACAAGGACTGGTCGGCTCGGGGTCAGTATATTATGTTTAAGTGGGGTATTCTTGTTAAACTGCGGCATTTCTCAATGGGCTAGCACTAAAAAATCGTCATTTATCCGGACTAGAACAAGCATCCGAACGAACACACGTGCATGCACGTCGCTCTTTAAGTGCAATTATCTTGGACGCGACATTAAACCCCATTTCATCTCAGTTACGGGTATGGCCACCTCAGTTATATAGCAACACGGTCCTGACATCTGCCGCGCACAGAACTGCATGACAAGCACCTGTAGTTTTGTTTATGGTTTTGCCTGCCATTCTTGTGAAGAAATCCCACTTAAGGTCGTCCGGATGAGGATGGTTGTCTTGGACTGCTGTTCCCAAGACACCCCACCGACGTTCTATTGGCGCCAGGTCCGGTGAATATGCAGGCCACTGCATAACGGGAACACACATGTGTCTGAGATAGTCGGTGAGAACACGAGTGTGGTATGTTCTCGCATTAAGTTCCTTAAGGGTATACCAATTTGGCGACCCGTGAAGATCCGGGGTAGGATAGGTCTTCAGCAACCCATGCTTGCCGTAAAAGGCGACTATGCTTGTCGTAAGAGGCGACCAACGGGATCGGGTGGTCAGGCTCTCTGACTTGGTTGAGGCATGTCATCGTATCTCATTTGCGTAGATCGATGCTCATGATGTCAATCACTGGATTGTTTGGTCCAGACTCGATTATTTACAGACCGCCGTCATATAGCTGGAATATTGCTGAGTGCGGCGTTAAACAACAAGCAAACAAAAACACTGTCTGGTAATAACCACGTTGTAAGGTGTTTGCTATAGTAGTGCGCTGATTGGGGGCTAGGAGAACAAGGTAGCGGTCATCACCTTGTGAGGTACACCTTGGACGCCGAGAAAGGACGTCTGACAGTGGCTATAGGACGGTGCCAATGACAGATGGGGATACCTGCAGTCTCCCGGCCACCTGACCTATAGAGATGCAATCCTGACTCCAAGCAATAGCTCTGTCAACATCATTCATGTGTGGATTGATTTTTGAGCATGTGTTGACATGGCCACCAATGCCCATCATCATCGCATTCTCATAGGGAGAACATGCATATGCATCCCCATTATCAGCACGTTCATGTGCTGGTCATGACGTTTGTGTGCGTTTTCTCTACTGACTGGTGAAAGGGTAGCGTTCAAGTGACCCTGACTTTGTTATATTGTTTTCTGTGACTGCAAACCGTCCCCCAAACCGTGCCCCTGTGATCAGCAATACCACAGACATGTGACAATGTGACTCACAATTGAAAGGCCGTGTGTTGAAATACACGCCTCCCACGCTTATGACGGATTACTTGTGGTCACATGATAGAATCGGGTGTTCCTTAACTGTACATGGGTAGTATATGTAAACAAGTCCTCAGATTCCCAAGTTCACCCGATATTTCACTCATCTTGCCCCATTATTAATGAAATAATGGTCTTATCATTAAATGTACTGGATTACAACTATTCTTGTGATGTTTTGGCCTGTTTAATGTTTCAGCCGACGCCATGGAAAGACCACATTGGTATATTAATTAATATACATCACGCTTATTTTCATTCAAAGAACAAAAACCTTTTGTTTGCTAAAACAGAATTAGATTTGTTTTACTGTGATGACCGCGGTCTGTAAATAATCTGACATGCTGACTCGGTTGATGCCTGTCATCGTATCCCAATTGCGTGGACCGATGCTCATGATATGAATCACTAGATTGTCCAGACTCGATTATTTACATACCTCCGACATATACCTTGAATATTGCTGCGTGCAGCGTTAAACAACAACAACAACAACAACAACAACAAAGCATGCTATCGTACCCACACAGCGTGAAACATAACATCAATCACAGGCTTGTCTGCTCCAGATTCGGTCATTTGCTATATTATATTTGTCATATAGATGGAATTTTGCTGAGTACGACGTTATCAAGAAATAAACAAACAAAAAAGATAAAATAAATCTTCATCTGCACACATTGTGAAAGTAAACACATGTATATATTGATTTAAATTGGACAATGTATCGATCTGTTCTAATACAGCAATCACGTGTTATAAAGTAATTAAACCTTGATTTGACCTTCGTATGTGACCTGTATTTTAAGGTCGACAGATACGAGAGACATTCACAAATTTTAAAGTTGTATCACGAAACGAAAATGACATGACACCACACCCAGTCACATGTGCGCGCAGAGGTATGTATTGTTTTTGTGTTGATGGAGAAATGTTTAAAGAAGTTGGATATCAGTACTGAGTTAGTCTTAACAAAAAATAAAATGTGCACTTAACATAGTGACGTAGGTATTACATGCTTTCTTTAGGGAAATCAAAGCCTTTATTAAAATTTTGATCAACAAGTAATGTATTCAGTGGATGATTTTATTTCTTTCATTACAAGGACCAAAGGACATGGATTGTGATGACGATCATACAACATAAAACCTCTGTATAATGGAATAGTTGGTAAGTATATACACAATAACACATCATCTAATCATGTAGGTGTTTGCACAACGCCCTCAATCTTTTCCCGGTTAGTATTTACTGATAACGCACCCATTAAAATAAATAAGGCGCTTTCAAGTACTTGTCCTCTTATTCACATTAAGTCTACTTTATACTTCTTCAGCGTAACGTCATGTTTATCGGAAGTTTGTAGATGTGTCATATTACATGTACATATGAGTCGCCGACTTGATGACACAACAAATAGCTGTACACATGCTGTTATCTTCTTGCGAAACAGTGGGAAACTAATCAAGGGCGGATAACTCTTACCGCTTAACCTCAAACTGGTTGCGACAGCTTTCGTGCCCATAACTTTAGACATTTCCAAGTCGGACCGAAGCCACACCCTCGGGATAACTGTCAAACTTGTGGCCGCCTTCCTGCTTTTTATGCCAACAGAATAAGGTAACTGCACGTCCATATACGATCTTAATGTCTTGTGGGGGCTTTAAGAATGCTCTATGAAACGTGATGATGAAAAGTAGCCCAATCATGCCAATGGAAGCGTCAGTAGGAGTATCTAGGCCATTGCCAAAACCCTTTTATTTTTATAGTTATACCAGTTTAGTTATCGTATGGCTCCCTCACTCCTTCTAAAATGTTTATATGCGAATTTTTAAAACATTGAATCCGATTAATGGCATATTCTGTGATGGAAGATCTGTATGAACAGATTACCGGTTATTTTCGCACGCATGAATAATTCTACACCATAATTCATATATCATTAAACGAGAGTTCGTCACGCCCTACTGTCACTGTCAGATGCGTGTTTTGCATGCCTTTGACTCATCCGACATATGTGCACGTTTCAGAAACTGTTTTAATCCTTGCCGGTGTGTTAAGCATGTTAAGCCCTGCGTGTTCATGTATGATTTGTGTTATAACCTGTTGCAAAATGTTCCAACAACAGCAACAACAACAACATTGTTTTACAGTAATCCATCCAACCACAACACTGAGGCAATCATTGCAAATAAACTGTCTGGATCACATTTAGTTCAGTCATACATGTATACATCTATCCATCAATTCTTCCTGAATATAAGTAAGATCTTTGAGGTTTATCGAACGCTTCAGATTCAGTCTATTTTTACAATACAAACAAATTTACCTGTGATCAATGTTAGTAGTACAGTCAGCATGGTCAGGGCTCGATTTAAGGATCTTGATTTAAGTTGCACCTGGTGCATGGTGACAAGAAAACTTATATGCACCAAACCATGTTGCTTCCTTGTCCAATAAAATGTTCAAAGTCGAAACATTGCTACATACACTAGCCTAAATAAATAAAAACTCAAATCTCTGATACAGTTAGTACTTATGTATACTGTTATTCAGCAACCCATGCTGGTCGTAAAAGGGGACTATGCTTGTTGTAAAAGGGGACTATACTTGTTGTAAAAGGGGACTATGCTTGTCGTAAGAAGCGACTAACAGGATCGGGTGGTTAGGCTCGCTGACTTGGGTGATACATGTCATCGTATCCCAATTGTGTGGATCGATGCTCATGATGTCAATCACTGGATTGTCTGGTCCATACTCGATTATTTACAGAGAGCCGTCATATAGCTGGAATATTGCTGAGTGCTGCGTTAACCAACTAACAAACAAAACGAACCTTACTGTTACAGTACTTTTGCATCAATGACATCAATGGCAACCATCATATTGTGCATCTTCCCGAGGCAAGAGAGTTAACTGACTATAAAAGTCCTGTTTCCACCCTTACCGAACTAGGCTGGTATTATGGAGTTACGTTTTGTCTGGACTAACAAGTCTATGCATAGTCCAATCAAAATTGCGCAATGAAATCGAAATCCGGTTCATAAACTCAATCGGTCGATTGCAGGATATGCAAAGCATGTGCACCGCCAACTCGTCATCAGATATTTTCCAAACCTTTTCACGTTTTTAATCAAGGTGCTCACGTGATTTGATGCATTTCGCGATGTAAGATCCGTTTTATCATAATATAGATCTTGATCATTGATCAGATCGTCCAGACTGGGCGCCACCATTTTGTGTGAAGCAAACGCAAGTGATATGAGAGGTGGAATCTGATTGATCCATAGGAGAGGCTTAGAAGGAACATAACTGGTAATAGCCACTGGTGGCGCTACGATCGAGCCCAGTAATTCCAGCCTAGTTCGGCAAGGGTGGAAACTGGACTTTTAAAGTCAGTTAACTCTCTTGCCCCGGGAAGATGCATATAGTGGTAATGCATAATGATTTATCATTAGATGTATAATATAAATATCATAATGTGATTCAGTGTTTATCTTCAGTGATAGATAAAGCTACAGTTCGGAATCACAACTCAATGCCAGTCAGTGCTCATGAATATCAGCATCACTGCTCCTTCAGCTCATCCTTCAGCTCTGTGTTTGGCAAGTTGATGTTTGCTTCCTTGTAACTTGTAGCCTTGGGGTCTTAGTCATCCACAAAGCTGCTACAAGTAATGGTTAGTCAAGAAGCAATCCTGAAAACTTTTGATCAGTGTTCCTGCTGACTTTTGAAACTGACCTGGTGGATTGGCAACTCTAAAAATCCCCACCAATTTTTGTCAGTCAGTCCAAACTTTCAACAAACAAAACAATGTATGAAAATTACCTGGTTTTAATTTCATCAACATCATGTTTAATGCAATGAAGTTGTCTCTGAAGTAACTTAGTTAGATCTACATGTCATTCACACAAAGTCCAGTCACAAATTTCTCCTTTTTATCCCTCCGGCATATAATGCGGGGGGATATAGCGATCAGCCAGTCTGTCTGTCTGTCCGTCCGTAATCATTTCCTTTTCCGGGGCAGAATTCGAAAACCATTCAGTGTATTTGATCGAAACTTGGCAAATCTATCAGGCACATACTGAAGTGGTGCCTTTTGATATTTTGGGATTTTTCTAATTTTTATTTTTTAAAATTTTTATGGAATGAAGTTGGACATAGACTCAATTGGGGATGGGGTTCGTTTCTGGGGCAGAATTTGAAAACCATTGGTGTATTTGTTCGAAACTTGGCAAATCTATCAGGCACATACTGAAGTGGTGCCTTTTGATATTTTGGGATTTTTCTAATTTTTATTTTTTTAAATTTTTATGGAATGAAGTTGGACATAGACTCAATTGGGGATGGGGTTCGTTTCCGGGGCAGAATTCGAAAACCATTCAGTGTATTTGATTGAAACTTGGCAAAGCTATCAGGCACATACTGAAGTGGTGCCTTTTGATAAAAGTTTTTATACGTATTTATATTTTTTACAATTTTTATGGAAAGAAGTTGGACCTAGACTCCATTGGGGAACGGGTTTGTTTCCGGGCCAGAATTCGAAAACCATTCAGTGGGTAAACAATGTATGTTTCTTAAAGAACATTCAACTGTTGACTCATTACATAAAGAATTGCACATTTACTAGTGGTTACTTTACAGACAGCTGCCGGGGGGATATGTCATCTTTCTGATGACTCTTGTTTTAATATTACGTGACTAAGTCGCTTAAAATAAATATTTAACCTCGAAGCAAGGCAAAATGTTATTTCCTTCCACTATACTTGACAAGGGGAAATCCTGATGGTGACAGACAAGCTGACTTTCTTAGAAAAATATACTTATATGAATAATGCCGATGTTTTGTTCAACAACAAAGATTTATAAGGTACTCTATTTGCCAGTCCACAGGGACTGGCAGTCACATGAATTACCGGTCCAAGGCTAATTCTACTGGTAAAAAACTGGTAATTACTGGTAAACAGGAACACTGTGGATATGCAATTGTTGCATGTAGACATAAATATTAAGTTGCATTTTTCAATAATGGGTGGCACTGGAGCATGTTTTATATAGCTGAATCCAGCCCTGAAGGTTAACTCTCATTTTTGAATATTTCAGAAATAGATCAACTTCAGACATCACAAATTTCTCTCTTTAATGGATGGATTATTAGGTTTTGTTTCTATCCTTGACCATGGGTTTCACTGAAATGGTAAACATGTAACACTTGCCTCATGCATCCTAACCATGGTAGTCTAATATATGTAAACATTTCTGTGGCACTGAATTATTACCATATATTTATTATTACTATCTGAAATATGAAAATAGGACAAACAAACGTGTCTGTATTTTATTCTGTTTGTTGACATGGTTGACACTAGATTTCCAGTATACATGCTGGATTCTTTGTTTTCCCATGGGGGGGGATGCCTGAAATCTTATGGTGACGTGTATAATACGCACCCCCTCTGCGCTGCTTCACTTTCTGAAAATAAAGTGTTCACTATACTCAAGGAAATATGGTAGTATTGTATTGATATTCATAAATTTGTACAGGACCAATAACAAGAAATGGCTTTAATGTTTAGCTTTACATTTTTGCTTTCAATGCCATATTCACCTGTGAGCAGTAAAGCGGAGTAGTGATGACTCAGAGAAAATCACAATTTTGTCCAAAATTATGCTTTTTGTCCAATTTGTCTGCCCAATTTGCATTCGTCACCACTCACCCCTTTCCGTAACCTGCAAGAAGACTCGTCCCCCCTATCGATGGATGTTATGTGTGAAAATACGACAAACCAATCAGAATGCGCCCATTATTTCAAGTTCTTCATCAAAGAATCCCTCAGAAATATTTTTTGATTTTACATATGTCTTGCATCTAGAAATAATCCAAAGACACAGTTAAATGTGTTCAATCATACAGTATAATTCTGCATGTCCAGATGTGTTTTAAATTGCATCTGAAATATATATAATATATGGGGAAATGTAAGTGAACCATTACGCAACGAGTTGACAATTGTTTTAGGTATGCCCGTTTGCGCTAAGAAGGAACCCGGTCGCAAAACATGCAAAAATGGCCATGAGCTGGGCACAAGTCGCTATTCGGTTTGTCCCGGAATAACAAGAGTTGGTCACAAATGCCCAATTTGGAATTCTAGATAAATCACTGGATATAGAATGACCTTACTTAAAGTGTTGTCAAACTCTTTCATCCTTCACCCATAATATCTCAGAATGTGTGATATGTTACATATTCCTATTAAAAGTTGACACCTGTGAAGATCCGGGGTAGAATACGTCTTCAGCAACCCATGCTTGCCGTAAAAGAAAACTATGCTTGTTGTAAGAGGCGACTAACGGGATCGGGTGGTCAGGCTTGCTGACTTGGTTGATGCATGTCATTGCATCCCAATTGCGTGGATCGATGCTCATGATGTCAGTCACTGGATTGTCTGGTCCAGACTAGATTTTTTACAGACTGCCATCATATAGCTGGAATATAGCTGAGTGCGGCATTAAACAACAAACAAACAAACATCAAACATTGTATTAGTGATGGGCGTAAGTTCATATTTACAAAATGATTAACAAACGAATCATAAGTCATGACAGCGATTGGCATTAAT